TGTGCGATAGACTTACCTCCACGTGGTGCATCCTGGGGAAACGTATACGCATACGGCAAAAAAGTCCATCAAACCGGCAGTTGACTTCTGAATTCAAACTACCATCACCCACAACTATATGTCATATTCGACCAATTCTAGAGTTCTCATGTTACCTTTTCTCTGCCTTTGTGTCTGTCTGCCTCTTTTACTTCTGTGAGGTATTATTCTGTCTTCCCTTCTCGACTTTTTGTCACTTTGATGTTCCTCCTCCTCCTCCTCATCTCTGTGAAGCCCGAAGTCAGCTAAAGAGCTAATTATAGCTATCAAACCGCCTGCCATTTGAAATAAATAAATAAATATTCCATTTTGCTGACAAAAGTTCAGATTAAATCATTTAAAGAGGCGTTTTAAACATTTTTAAGATTTCTTTCCAAGAAGTATCATGCGAATGCTCAACGGTTTATCAGTAGTATTCATGAAAAATTTGATATTTGTCTTTTTCGAATTTTGTGTTAATTATGAACATTGAGTAATGCAAAGGAGTTAATCAATGTCCATCCGAGAAATAAACCAGCATTATTTAATATTCGAGATCTTTAATTATCCCTCAAATAGATTTAAGTTTATTCTTTTTCGGTATTTACAAGGTTGATACTATTGGAACTATGAAAATCTAATTATTATCCATTTCCTTTAATTTCACACTTTGCTTATTGTTAAAACATTATTAATGCAACCCGTGCTTAAAATCGATTCAAATTTAAAATAAGATAATTGAGTGATATAGAATAAATGATTGGTTAGATTCAAAGCTGTGAGGAAAAGTTCTCAGTGTCCTTTTATTTAATGCTAAAAAGGAAATTACCCCCCCCCCCCCGGCTTCTTTAAGAAGTGAAAGCGTACCTGCATAACAACGGGTTGTTGAACTGGTGGGGCAGCAGGTGGTGCCGGCGGTGGCTGTTCCACTGGGCGTGGCGCCGACTGCTGGAGACCACGTGGTGGACCACTAGAGATCGAACGACGATTTGAGCGTAGTGAAGCTTGAACTTGTGCATAGAGCTGTTCTGTGTCGTTCAGACCCTCAATCTGACTGTTTCCTAAAAGTTGAAAAGTTATAGGGAATTTCCTGAATCGCAAAATACACAAAGAATCTTCAAACAAATTTTATGAAATAATACGGATGCAATTAGCATTAGCATTTAGTAGTTATCGTTATAATTTAATTAGCATGTATTCGCTCGGCTTAATTTTTAGCCCATACTTTGCAGCCCAACAATAATTTGATGTGCATCGCCGCACAAAAGAAATTTGCCTTCAACCGCTCAGTTATTTTGACTAGACTTGCCGTTAGTCGTCGATGTGGATTGAGGACCCCAGTGACTGGCCACATTATAATCTTCCGTGTAAATCTAAATAGTTGCATTTTGCATAATATATTAAGATGTGATTGTCAAAAACTTCTCTCCCCCTCCCTCTCCCTCTCCGGAGTCCTAAGCTCCAAAGATGCATTGATGAGTACCTTGGAACGAGAAAGATCAACAGGTTGATCATGTTGACCACTCATTGCTTTCATGATTTTAATTGAACGTGATTAGGAAATCATCAGGAATTTGATCGTTGCTCAATAAATAATCCTAAAAGGCTTTTTCTAGTCAAGGCCCTATGTCAATCCAAAATAGGGTTATGCAAAAGTCACCCACTTCGTTCAAGTTTGCACAGTTCAAGAACCTTCGGTTTGGTCTTCTCAAATGCGTTCTTCAATTCGTCTGTTCGCTCCACACGCTTTAGACTGGCCATGCGTCTGAATGGATTTTCTGAAAACGACAGGAGAAGACCGTAATGTCCTTCAATTTTGAGCCTTAAATCAAAATCAATTTGTTTATTCAATGTTAACAGTATGGGGTGTGCGATAGACTTACCTCCACGTAGTGTATCATGGGCAACGCATATTCATATGGCAAAAAAGTCTATTAACCACCAGTTGACTTCTGACTTTAAACTACCATCACCCCACTGTAAGTCATATTCGACTACTTCCACAGTACTCATCTTTTCTTTTCTCTGTCTTAGTGCCTCTTTACATCTGTGAATCACTCTTCTTTCCTCCTCTCGAATTTTTCCCACTTTGATGTCCCCCCCCCTCCCTCCGTGAAGTTCAAAGTCAGCTAAAGGGCTAATGACAACTATCAAAACGCCTGCCATTTGAAATAAATACATGAATAAATATCAACAGTGTGCCTTGCACCTGTTTCCCTCAATTCGAATCCCCCGGGCAATATTTTGACTCGTAACTTTTATCACTTACTATATAATTTTAAATTAACATAAAAGATTTCGATTCCAATAAGGAACACTGACCATACATGGTACCAGACCAACCTTATTACCAGAATGTAAAATCAAATTCAGGTCATTTGTTATGCTTTGGCTGTGCAATTCCGATTGAATGCTGTTTGTGCCTTTATTGGATTGTTTCACGATACTCAAAGTTCAGACTCTTTCGTCATTTAAACTTTATAACATCTTGAATAATAAGAAATGCGGCTACTAGTGATAATTTCATTAGTTTAGCCTAATTTAATATGTATCAAATAACAAATCGTGTGCAATAAACCAAGGTGGAATAACTAATACTGTACCTGAAATAAAAACGCAAGTTACAAAATGTGTGTTTATATCTCTCTAATTACTCAACTTTGATGGAAATAGCGTATGCAAGTGAACTTTCAAAACACTTAATTCTACCAAATGGGAGTAGTAAAAAATCGATAATTATGCACTATATTAGAAACTATTGACAACAGCAGTCCTTACCAGGAGCGACATGTTTGAGATCCGGTCGATAATCAGGCTGAGGATCAATGACAAGACTGCATTCGGCATGAGCCTCCCCAAGGCTGTTCTTTGCCACAGCAGTGACTGTATACTCGCCAGGTGGTCCGCAACGATTGAATTCCAAGTAACTAATACCACCATCGTTGTAGATACGCCAAGCACCTCCACCACCGCTCTGAAATAAACGCAAAATAAAGTTCCTATAATCTGAACTCTATTGCCCTTGGGCTCTTATAATTAACACCACTTCGTACATTGTCTACGAGATTATTAATGTCAATTATTCAAACAATTAAGTTAATATTGCAAAATCATTTTTTAAAACTAATTAAAAAATTTTGATTATAGAGTTAAGAAATTTTACTTGTCTGCACATGGCAAGTTATGGAGACTCACGATCGATTTCTGAAAATCCAAGAGCATATGGCAAATCGCCTTCCATAAAATCGTTCTGGATGAACATTCTATTCCAAATTATTCAGATCACATAATTAGGTAATTTAATTTTAATAATTTTAGGAATACAACTAGTTTTATTGGCATTTTTAATAAAAACTGGCAAGTTGTCTCATGAAATAATGTTAGATGTTAATGCCATACTAAATTGGTAAATTCCTATTGATTTTTCAAATAAATTCCCTTGGGAAAATTTTGGGGGAATCGATTTTCCAACTTCACACCCATTTTAATTCAAGCTCGTCACTAAGCAAGCGATCCACATTTGAGCTTAGAGCTTAAACTTATGGTCATTCTGAAAAAGGCGGCCAATTAATTACCTCAATTCTTTCATCACCAAACGTGTAACTCATTGCACGTGAGGTTAGCCATGCATTCTTATTATGAGAAAAGACTATTCGAATTTGATTTAACCTGGAGCAAATATTCCGCCCGTTAATCGCGACCATGTTATGAAGCAAAGTGAGGAATATGAGAGGATATTCCTTTGAGATGTCTTGTGAAATTATAATATTTGTTAAAAATTATGCTTCCCTTGTGTAAAGATTTTTCAGCCATTCGACTAAAATTGTTAGAAAATGCAAAACACCAAACTTTTCGATTGTGTTTGCTTTATTCTTAGGAGAAATGGAGAGAAGATTAACCTGAGGACAGCTGACCATTTGTGCGCGTTTCATAGTTCTGCATTTACCACCCACCATTCTATGTCTCTAGGTAGTGCAGTGTCTTAGTTACCTCACATTCCACACATCATATTCTCAATAGACAATGGTACAACAAATAAGTTGAAATCAGCACATGCGGCTATGCTTTAGTTCATCTCCTTGTCATAGGTTGCTAAATGTAAACTATAAGCGAAATATACCCTTTACTGAGACATATGTTCCAGATGTGGGGTGTGCAATAGACCTACCTCCACGTGGTGCACCCTGGGCAACGTATGCTCATACATCAAAAAGTCTATTAACCGGCAGTTGATTTCTGACTTCAAACTGCCATGATCCCAATGTATGTCATATTCGACTACTTCCACAGTACTTACCTCACCTTTTTTCTACCTTTTCTACCTTGGTCTTTGAAACACTCTTCTGTTCCCCCTCTCTCGACTTTCATTCATTTTGATGTTCCTTCCTTCTGTGAAACTTGAAGCCATCTAAAGGGCTAATGATAACCTTAAAAACGCCAACCATTTGATATAAATAAATAAATAATGTTCCAGATGTCTGCATTAAAAAGTAATATCCTAGATGAAAGCTTGTGACCGTTACTTTGGAATCGGCTTTATATGTAGGTGGGAGGGGGAGGGGGGGGGGAGGGTGGGTTGTTCATCCAACATCCACCCCCTTCTACCAACAAATGCATACCAGAAGGTATACATCTTAAATTAAAAGTAGTATTCACACTCACTGAGGGCAGAATGTCACCATTGATGAGCCATTGCACGCGTGGTGGTGGGTAACCACCAGCTTTGACAAGCAGGCGCAATGGAGAACCTTCGATTGCAGTTGTGTTATTTGGCTTCAGCTCAAATGTGGGAGCAGCTGGCTGTTGTTCTGTCTCGGTGTAGCGTTGATCTTGTCTAGAAAGAGGGGGAGGGGAGGGGGGAAGAGAGCATTTTATTGTCATGTACATATTTTTGGTGGAACTGCATTTAATGCAAATCTTAGCCTCCATTACCGAACGGTTCTCCAAATATAAGGTTGTATGTGGCAGAAACGCAAAACTCTTTGAATTTAGTCAAGCCTTTAAGTACCGTTTCCGCCAATAGAAATGGTTCCAATGTGGGAAATAAATGCATAAGTTAATCCTTATCTTTTTTTTAAAATTTTCTCTCTATCACTATCTAATTCAATATCTGGACATTAAGATAAATGATCGAATTTTCCAAGTAAGGGTCATAGAGACTATCTTCGCCATGGAAACTCCAGCTTATTTTACCCTTATAAACGCTCTTTTCCTCAATAGGTTGAAGAAATTTCAAGCTCTATTTAATATGCGTAATTTCACATCAATTTTTTTTTCACGATCGTTTATGAAGTAAAATATTTCTTTGTTTGAAAAACCCGATGAAAACTTACGAAGTTGAGCTGTCAAGTGCGTCGAGACTTTGAAGGTAGTGGACAGACTCAGCGGAGAGCACGGAGTCAGTAACAATTCCCACTCCGCCTTTGCAGCTACAAGAGAAATTTATTTTAAAAAAATACAACAACAATTAATATTTTATTATTATGTCCCGACCTAATTTGCAACTGTGTTATATTTTAGCATGTTCTGTAGGCTGCATAATTAGGACGCAAAAATAGGACTAAAGAGTGAAGGAGCACTTACGTCAAGTCAACAACATTGCTAGGAGTAGATCCAGCGTTATTCTTGGCAACACAATGATATTTACCGCTGTCTTCGGGATATATGTAATGGATGTCAAGAATGACGTAGCCACGGTCCATGGTCTCCGTGAAACGACAACCTGAAATGAAGCAAGCAGGCATATTAGAGAAATTAGATGCCAACATTGTCAATTGACTTAATTCAGGTAAAATTTAAATTATAAATGCTGATTTATTATTTTAAATGGTTACAATCACGAGGGTACGAAGGTTCAAATACTTACAAATTGAATTATTTATAAATCCTATTAAGGACACGAGTTGCACAAAAGATTTTTCCGTTCTCTAATTCGGTAACTCAATAAATTCCCAACACCCCTCACGAAGCCCTATCTTTCGACCGGGTCCTCTGTTCAGCTCCAACTTTCAGTATCTCATTTTAAAGGTCATTTGGATATCAGTAGTTTAAGGAAGAACAAAACCTATATTCATTTTTAGAATAATGATTTGATTACCGATTTCGTCTTTAACCCCTAGGGGATTTACTCTTTTTTCTCAAGTACCGATTTATGCACTTTCTATAAACTCAATAACTTCAATGCTTGAAACCCTAAACTTAGAACATTTTTTTTTCAATCTTAATTAACTTTAGATTTTAAATTAACATTTAGTGTTTTAAACCCCGAGGGTCATTAATCTTTCAACCTGATTTTTGACTTAAAGAATAAGCTTTAAATTTCTCGACAAATTAACACACATTATACTGGAACTAATTTGGGCAAGCAATCTTTTTTCGTTGGAAGATATACTGTAAATGTCATTTCGCAAAGGAATTTGATAGACTTTATTTGGTTCTGAGCTAATTGCTAGAGGAAGGAAAGGATATGCCCATACATCTGTGGTAGATTGACCTTCCTAAAACCCGAAATAAAATTATCCAGCAGTGATTCCTATTCACTGGAATCATATTAATCAATAAATCAATTCTTTGGAATGTGATAAAAGTATATGACTGCCAATTTCAAATCGCGTAGCTGTTTATATTTTTATAGTAAACCGACAACAAAATGGTAGCCATAAATTTGCATTTGTAATCGAAGCAAAGTAGAATGATTGATTAGGATAATTTTTTTATCTACTGATAATTTGCAAAACATATACCTACTAACAGCACTGTAGCTAATTGTCAAGAAACTGAATTCTTCTATCTATTTGCAATCGCTTCAATGAGACCTCACCAGTTTTCAGTGGTTCTCCATTTTTAAACCATTCAACAGTTAGGCTTGGATCGTTGGCAGGTTGCACAAAAGTCTCGAACTTGGCTCGTTCATTCTCTTTCAGGTTTATTTGTGGAAGGAGAGGGCGAAGGAATTGAGGTGGAGATGTGAATTTAACCTCATCTTCACGTCTTGGCATACCATTCATGGCAAGTTGGTTCTCCATTGCTGCCAAGTTCATGATCATTGATTCTTCGGGTAGCTGCGATTCGGTAATCACATTGTCCTCCGGTATGATCCTATTCAAATAAACATTATTTTTTACATCTAGTAACTCTATCAATTATAATAGTACATTCGGCTATAAATAGTTCTTCTTTTTATCCACTCAATAGACACGTAGTATTAGGGGCCTGATGGTTTGACGTTAGTGTGACTGTCACCTCAGATTGACAAGACTTGTTGCATGTTCTGGATACGCTTATCGTCCGTCAAATTTTCTAGGACGGACTTTTCTTCATACCCAAAATAATAGGTTCAAAATATTAAAGTTCTTTTCTCCGTCTTTAAGGTTATTATTGAATTTATTAAATGTTCCAGTTTAAGCGTCATGGATTGGTATAGGAAGTTTGTGTCAAATATCACTGCAGGAAAACATACTATAATGAGCTTTAAGGTAAACCAAGATAAGTTTTCGAAACGTTGGGGTGTGCGATAGACTTACCTCCACGTGGTGCACCCTGGGCAACGTATACTCATACGACAAAAAAGTCTATTAACTGGCAGTTGTCTTCTCACTTCAAACTATCATCACCTCACTCTATGCCATATTCGACTATTTCCACAGTACTATTCAAAATAGCTACTCACGTGACTTGACAAGGGGTAGATTGAGCACTTCCATGAGCAGTCTTCACAACGCAGATATACTCGCCTGAATCGGTGGTGTTGGTGTATAGAAACTGGAATTCAGCATGACCACGATCCAAAATGGCAGTATGGCGAGAAGCTGAAGTAATAATAATTATAATAATAAAATAATTGTTTTATCAATTTTTCATTAATTTACAATCGCCTGTCACTCCTGCTAACCTTGAGAATAGCACTCAAAGCAGGAAGGATTGGAAAGGCTTCCCACTATTAGTCATT